TTGCCACGTCGGATCTTCTTCTGTACTTTTTCCTACACTTTCCATTCTACTCTGTGATAAATGTCAATGGGTAGGGCCTAGCTGCAACTTGGGTTGGGTTGGGATTGGGCCCAAACCCTAGTCTGCACAGCCACCGCTGATGGCCCAACCCAAGAGTTGATATGGTCTCAGTCAGCATCCCTCAAAATAGGAGGGAGGTGCAGGAACACACCCACTGAACCGAATTAGAGATTCCTGCTTGTCACAGGCGACAGACGAGGTGAAATCAGGCGTAGAGCCTTGGGCTAAAACCTGAATTCATGGCATTTTACTTTGGATGTATTTTGCAGACCCACCTTAGCGTCGGTGTTCTTTTCTTTGTCGCATGGAGAATCATGGAGACGTTTTCCTGGCTCCAAATGAAGTAGCCAAGTAGAAGATTCCTGGGTCATTTTCATTTAGACTTCACTCAATAAGGCAATAAGCTAACTAGCAGACAAAGAGATCAAAATCAAGTCGATTAGGACAACCCCGCCCATTTTTCAACGTAGAGGAATCCTGCGGCCAAAGCACATTGCTGAATGCTGATCAGATGGAGAACTCCACCATATGGAGCGCCATGGCTTTTACAATTAATGCATGTCTGTGGTCGAACCCTAAAACAAGTTGCCTCAATATTAAAAGATTCCTCTGTGTGCGTTTCTGGGCCTTGATCAGGATAGTAATGGAACATATTCAGATGTTTTAAAAACATTAATGGACAAAAGATGGTCTCTCAGTCTCACTCACTCACTCTCTCGCTCTATCATCTTTTTTGCATGCAAATTACAGAGGTGGCGAAAAAAGAGAAGAGAGTATATATATATATATATGATGAATAAAGATATCGATTGACTTACTTACAGAGTCAACAACTCATCCGTGTGGAATAATACGTGGACCCAGAGATGCTGACCACTACTCACTCCAAGGTCGTCCCTTGCACCTCACTTACTACCTGTTTTGTTCCCTAATAAGTGGTCTACTCAGTATATGCCATCCATTTCCCTTGAAATTAGGAAGAAGAACTAACGAAGTCAATCAATTATTCTCTCAATGGCTTGGGCTTTGGAATTTGGATGGGTTCTTGATTCTTGGCAAGTTGAGGACGAGACCAAGTCAAAAAGCAGAGGAAGAAAGAAGGAATGTCTGAGGAGTGAGGAATAAAGATTTCTATTTCTCTATCCGCGTGGACTTCCCGTGTTCACTTTCTGTCTCTACCAGTTTCGACTTTCAACTTGATCTCACACATCGGATGTACACTGATGGGCTCTGTTTCTAGTCCAATTTTGCAAATCTTCTTCTTCTGATGATCTTTGGGGATTAGATTCTTCCTTCTTGGGATAAGGGATTTATTTCCGAAGTGGGACCTGTCAAATGATGGGCACGTGGGTGTGGGCCTCTATGAAGTGGAAAAGGGTAAGACACTGCCTGATGCATGGGCCTCATGAGTGACACTGTAGTTTGTTCTTTTCTGGCTCAAATGTTGGTACTGATTCTGAATGCATGGGATGGCCACATTCATCAAACCTCACATCTCAGGGGGGCTCATGATCATGGCATCAATTATCAAAAACGTAGCTTGAGCATGGTCTAGCTCTGCCCCACAAGCCCATTATGAAATTGGGCCTATTTAGTGCTCATGGTTTAGACTTGGACAGCTTGGGTTCACATTCCATGAGTTGGTATCGGGTTAGCTAGCATAGACCCGTGATGAGTTCAAGGTGATTGATGAGATCAGCGCTTGGCTCACATAAACCCATAAAATTGAACTAGTGAAAACCTTAAATTTTTAGGTAATTAGATAGACTCTACAATCAAATGGCCACGAGTTGCATTCAATAGGACAGTATGATCAAAATCAAGTACAAATTTCATTTACATCGATGTAAATGCATGGGAGTGCAAATGGGTTGACCGGTTGAGTGTCTTTACTTCAGATTTGATTTTATCTTCCTATTTTATGTTTTTTTTTTTTTTTGAAAAGAAAAGAAGTGAAAAATTCTTGCTTCTTTCTTTTCAAAAAAAAAAAAAAATCTTCCTCAGACATTCCTATCCGCGTGCCTACTTTAGTTTTGGACCAATCTTCTTTTAATATATTACACATCTCATTGACAGCTGCTGATGAGAAGTGATGTTGACATGGTACAATGACCCTAGCTGCTTTTTGCTTCAGAGCTTTCTTCCCCATGATTCCTCACAATTCCGGAAGAATACAGTAGATCAAGTGGCTCGGCTCAAGTGATCAGCAATTGGTCTTTGACCCGCTTGCATGATTCTACATGGAAGCTATTAACATTAAAGGGTCAAGGGTTTAGTTTTTGGGTCGAATGGTCTGATTGTTTGAATCGAATGATTAGTCTGTTTTAACAAAAAATTAAAAAAATATAAAAAACAGTCAAAACCGTTAAACGGTTCAAACGGAACTGATCATTTGACCGGTTCTCGGTTTTTCTGGTCCAGTCTGGTTTTGAAAACCATGAGGTGGACTATTATAGGAAAAGTAGTGTTGTCAAATGCTATTCTGATATCATTTTGGTTATATATATTTGTCGTAGAATATGGTACAATTAGGGTCACAGATACCCTAATCTCAATTATATTATATCTTTTGTATATTGATTATGATAATTTGAACCTTGATTGTGTGTGGTACCATCGTTAATTTTACATATCGAAGGTTGTTTCTGTATAGTTGAAACAGGCATATCTTATGGGGGGCTGTTTTATGAAATGAAGACGTAAAATTAACCTTTCTAGCTCCATGCATGGAGTGACGAAGTTTAATAATTTTTGTGCACGATTTGTATATAATCCATACGAACTCACCAAATACAACTTTTAATGTGGTGTGCACATTTCCACAATCCTACCGTCTATCTCAGGCCACTCTTCCCAATGGCGTTCGACCTAATTAAGGCGGAATTGTGTTGATTTTGAGGCCTGCGTCGCTGTGAGAGCTCTGGTTTCTTCTCTTCGAAATAAGCCAAGAAAAAGAAATCCACAATTAAAAAATGTTAAAGTCTCTAGTGGTCGCTTGCCCATTTCTTCATGAAATTAATTGACCAATTTAAACCATATAAAAGCATTTCCTTTTATATACAATTTGTCTTTCTTTGACAAAATGAGGCGTGAACGTCTTCCCCTGAGGCCGTGTGTTGCCTCTTGGATGAGCCCGATTGTACATAATATATATATTAATTATAGGGTGTTTGGAAATTCATTTATACAAGGAAACGAGGAATTTAATCATCTTGTTCATATTTTTACATCTCCATTTCCCAGAATATAAATTCAGCATCAATCGAAAAAGGGATTCACAATAGAAAAGTCTAGACTGTTTTAAGTTTGTTCTCAGCAAGCTAAGGGAAGAACAAAAAAAAAAAAAACTAAAATCAACTGGATTAATCTCATGCATGTGACTTCCAAATTAAAATTATATTGGATTTTTGTAACCAATCTATACTATATTCTAAAATGCAGTTTTAGAATTTTGTGTTTTTTTTTTTAATTTTAAAAATAAAATATTAAATAGCTTTAAATTCACCCCAAAGTAATTGAAGTATCAAACTAACTGACAATCATTTCAGTTAAGAAACTGAATGTAATATGGGCATCTTACTTAATAATTAATATCTTATAATTTTATTATTAATTTATTTAATAATAAATATATTATTATTTTATCACTTTAATTATATTATATTAATATTTTGCTTGTACTTTAGGCTGTGTTTGGCTGCAATGCCAATAAATTTGAACTGATACAAAACTATGGCAATGCAAATTATTTGAGTGTAAATTCTGATATATATTTTTGTATCAAATTTTAGCTTATTTTGTTTGATTGCAGTACAAATGAACTAAATTAAGACATGAAGCTGAATATATAAAATTAAACCACAATTTACATTTTTTTTTTCATTTGCACTTTCATGCATTTGTACTAGTACAAATAAAATTGCACTAGAACCAAACACAGCCTTATTATTGTTATTTTGTTATTTAATAATTAATATCTTTGTTTGTTATTAATAATTTATTATAGTCCTATTAATTTTTTACTACTTTACTAATAATTCATTATTTAATTGTTAATATATTTTTATTGTTTTACTAATATTTTAGTAGTATTAGGATTTAGACGGATTTTCTGTTAGGAGTTTTTTACTTCTTAACGGTCTCTGAAATGGGAATCCCATTCGTAAAGGGGAAGCCTAGAATGGCCATTCCCTCATATGGGGAATCCCAGGGAATCGGAAGCCATTCCAGTTCCAATTCAAGACACCTATACCCGAAAACCAAACGGGCTCTTAATTCTAGTTTATATAAAACGTGTTAAAGTATGTAATGGTTAGGCTAATTTAATACTATCACAAGCACAAGCTGGGGAGGATTGGTTTGTTTTTGTTGTTTTTCCAGTGCTTTGGTCCCCACAGCCACAGAGGTGGAAAGGTGGATAGTTGGATACATGCACGGGACTACGTGGAAAGCCTACGCTTCCGCGTATCTAAATCTGCGCCTCCTGATGGAGCCGAATGACCAATTGAACTACTACCGCCTACCGGGTCGTTGGCAGCAGAGTGGGTTGGGTGTGACTTGTGAGATTACGACACAACCACCTACCTGTGACTGTGAGGCTGTGAGGAGTCCATATCTTTTCATACATAGCAAAATATTGTTCCAACATGATCTATGTCCGCACATCTGAGAATTTAGAATGGAACCCACTATGGTGTGCGAATACAGATTATGTTGTAACGTGTTGGAAAAGTATTTTCAAATTTAATTTGTTACGAGTTACGACCGAGATGCAAGAGACCATGACTGAAATTAACATTATTTTCAGATTGGTTACGATGGATTAGGGTAAAGGCGTTGAGCAATGGGAATCCACACAACACGTACACAAGGCCTGGACCAGGAGTCCACGTGAAGATACATATATATGACCAATTATATTGCCTATTGCCCACTTGGGTGAAGTTAAAAAGATGGACGACTCTTCTTCACAATGCAAACATTCTGTTGGGCTTATCTCCCAAGCCTCCTAGCTGGCCTCTATATAAGGACAGATGAAGGACCAAATTAATGTAAGTGAGACGGAGGATTACTACTCTTTAGCAGAAGAAGAAGAATGGCTGCCATATCCGTGGATCCAAGGATGAGCCTCTCAATCGGACATGACCGTCGCCAACATGGAATTGTGACTGACGAGATCGAGGGGATCATCACAGTGTACAAGGATGGACACCTGGAACGTCCTCTGGTCGTCCCAAATGTGGCATGCACTGTGGCTCCACAGCCTCACGTGACATCAAGAGATGTGATAATCAACAAAGTTAGCAATGTATGGGCACGATTTTATGTGCCCAGATGCCAGAGAAAGCTACCTTTACTTGTTTACTTCCACGGTGGCGGATTCTGCGTAGGCTCCGCCGCTTGGAAGTGCTACCATGAATTCCTGGCCAATTTGGCATCCAGAGCCGGTTGCTTGATCATGTCTGTTAATTACCGTTTGGCACCGGAGAATCGTCTCCCGGCGGCCTATGAAGATGGCTGTAATGCTCTCTTGTGGGTGAAGCAGCAGGCTTCCGATGGGTCTAGTACTGACCAAAGGTGGTGGTGGAGCCAATGCAACTTTTCCAAAGTGTTCTTGGCTGGCGACAGCGCAGGCGCCAACATAGCCCACAATGTCGCCACCCGACTGGGCTCCTTTGAATCATCCGAATCCATGGCTTCAAAGCCATTCTGTCTCAAGGGGACCATACTGATACAACCGTTCTTCGGTGGAGAAGGTCGAACCCATTCCGAGTTATACACAGCACAGCCCTCTACTTCGGCCCTGAGCTTAACAGCCTCGGACGTTTACTGGCGACTAGCCTTGCCTGTTGGAGCCAACCGTGACCATCCCTGGTGCAATCCTCTTGTTAATAATGGTTCAGCTATGTTGGAGACCTCGAGAATTCCCCCAACCATGGTGTTCATCTCAGAGATGGATATACTCAAGGACAGAAACTTGGAATTCTGCAGTGCCATGATCAAGGCAGGTAATAAGAGAGTGGAGCAACTGATGTGCAGGGGAGTAGGCCATGCATTTCAAATTCTACACAATTCTCACCTCTCCCAACCTCGAACCCGTGAAATGATCTCTCACATCAGTGCCTTCATCAACCTTTAACCCATGATTAGTTTTATCAAAATTTATGTATGTAGGTGTAGCATCTAGACCCAAATTATATATTAAATACGATCTGCGAGATATATAGAGATGAGAGGTAGAGTAAGAGTAGTGAAGCTGTTAAGTCTTGACCTAGCCAATTACCAACAATTCCGAAGGAGTTGATACTTGAAAAGAAACCTGTAAATCAATTAGTACTTTCAATTCCCTTCAGTTCAAAATGGACTCCATATTCCAATCTTTCTTCTTATTTCTTGGGTGCATGAATAATCCTTGATTGAAATCCTATGTCAATGAGAAATCACAAAGTACACAAATAGTGGTCGGCCTAAATTAAAGCAACTTTTGACGAACATGATGTGTTTGTGCCGCTGCAACTTGCAAGAATACATGTGAGAAATATCCTAAAATTAAAGGAATCGGTGATGGGCCCGGCCATGTTGATTTACTTAACTAACAGAAAAATTAATTAAGGCCAATAGTAGTTAAATTGAATAAATTAAAATGAAATGAGGATAATAGAGAAAGAAAAACAGCCATCTGGACTGATCGAATTAAGCACTGCGTGTCGTTATTCTGGCGTAGCAATTAATCAATCAAATTAAAGCAAGATATAGCGGGCAGCCTACTTTAATTTTTGCCGTCCAAGGGGAAGTGAGGAATCTTTTCCAGGTTCTAAACGACAAGGACTGAAAGACGTCGGCCGTCGGCGGGTGGGGAGTGTACGTAATTAACATGTTCTGACTCCTGATCCTGATGATGTCCACGGTAAATAATTAGTCGGAGAGACTGAGAGACCACCGTAGATGATCTTTCAGTCCTTGTCGTGGAAAGCTATCACATTTGAACCGATCCTTGACCAATATCGTTGCCAAGTCAAAATCCAAATAGGTCGAACCGGGCGTAGGGAGATGGGAACATAACCCGAAAACCAAACCATGTCGTTTCCTATTTTACGTGGAACTCCTTATTTATGATTTGTTAACTATTATTCTATTGGAACCCAGATTTCTAATTCACTTTTCTTACCCACACCCCTACCCGCATTGAATTGCAGCTACACATCTCACAATTCATAATACTGATATTGTATGGCTGCAATTCACGGAGGGCAGAAAATTCCGTTTGACCCATTAAACCCATGTTTTGTCAAAAAGGGCTTTGTGATAAAGCTTTAGAAAGTACTTTTTGCTACAAGAGGGTAAAAATAAAAAATCAAAAGAAAATGGTATACAAATTCGTAGAACTACTGGGACTCTTTAAAGTCTTCCACCGCCTTAGCCCGCTCTTCCTCCACCGCGGCGTCGAAGTTTCGGGTCCGCTCATGGAGCGTGGACTCCAAGCTCTGGACCTGCTGACGAAAAAGCTCATTCTCTGCCGCCACCCTCGAAGACTCCTCCTTGTAACGGGCGCTCTCCTCAGACAATTGGGAGATCAGCGCTTCATGGTCCTTGACGAGCAGTTCCTGGGCCTCGCTCCCCTTCTGAGCATGGAGGAACTCATCCCGGGCCGGGTCGAGCTCGCGTTGGAGCCTCCGCACTTCCGCCCTCTGGTTGGTGGCATCCTGGGAGTGAATAGCAGACTGATAGGCCATGGTGTGGATGGTGGAGTTCAACTGCCAGTAGAAAGCCGAGGTAAGTAAAAAAAAAAAGAGAAAGAAAAAGGGGGGAGGAGAAAGAGGGAAGAAGCAGGCACTTACCACCATGTAGTGAGTCGAGGTCAGCTTAAAGAGCCGCCTAGGATGCATCCCGGCCCAGTCCGTCATCTCCTCATGATTGACCGCCTGTCAGCTCCTCTGCGAGACCACGAGGAAGTTGGTGATGCTTTCATCCCTCCCCTCGGTAGGAAACCGCGGGAAGACGATGGAGCCGGACCGCGCGGCCGGAGGGTACTGCTCCTGGGGTGGGACCTCTTCTTCTTCGCCGCTTCCCGCGGAACAAAGGCTACATCCACAGCCTCGAACAGGAGACGTGCATCCACACCAGACATGTTGGCTACAAGAATCACAAGGCATTAGTCCAGCTTGCAAAAAAAAAAAAAAAGAGGGCGGCCTAAAGGTAACATACCAGGGCTCAAGCCAGCCTGCAAGAGCTTGTCCTCAGCCAAGTAGTCCGAACAGAGGAAGCCTACCCCCGCCCAAGACTGCAGTGTTTCCCGAACCTTCCGGTCCTAGTCAACGCTCGGATCCTGAATGGCGGCCCTCCAGTGGGTCGGAAAGGGCCACCCCTCGCGGTTGCGAACTACAAAATAACCTTGCTTCCAGGCTGGGATCCTATTAGGCAGCTCGTGGAGGAGCTTGAAGCCAGGACGGGGGAAAAAGTAATAAGAGCGCCTTTCTGGAGGGGCTCCAGGCGAGGCATTCTTAATTGACAAGATAGTGGCAAAGATATCAAGGGAAAGAGGAAGACAGTACTCGAAAAACAGAGAAATTGTCCCAACCACATTCCGGATTGAGTTCGGGTGGAGTTGGTCTATGGTGACATTGAAATGGGTAAGAACCTCCACTATCAAAGGGTGTAGAGGGAGTCGGAGACCAGCCACGAGCTGCTCCTCAAAGATAACGATCTCATCGTGGCCGTGCTCCCAGGGATAGTTACTGGATGGGAGGTTGTAGATGAGATCCCTGGGGAGGCCATACTGAAAGACTAGGGCCCGAATCCTCTCCATTGACATGGAGGAAGGGCCGAAGCTATCCGGCTCCTGACCCCGGGAAGTGGAAGTCGAGTTACCGGAGGCCTCTCAGACCTCCGGAGCCTGCCCTTCGGAGAACCCCCAAGCTCCCCCCGAGCTCGAGGGGACCTCACCCTGACTATCGTCTCGAGAAAATCCACCGTAGTACGGATACCCAGACATTGTTTGGACAGAGTAGAGGACTCACCAGAAAAGTGAACTAAGAAAGCGACGAGAACGGGGAGACCTCAAAATTGAAAGCAAGGCAAGTTGGCGTAAAGAAAATGAGGCCTGGGACCCTCCTATTTATAGCTGTTGTGCCTGAAAACCAACGGTCTCGATCAAAGCGAATCCAACGTCTCATAATCAAACCGGTTGCATGTCTTCCGATACTGAAATAAAGTCGGCTGCACATCTTCTGAAACTGAAGGAAGTTTGGCACATTTTTTGGCGCCCGAAAAATCCAGAAATCGCCTGACATCCACACGTATACTTCATGCGGTCAATCAACCTAGTTTAAATTATGGGTCAAATCCCCCCGTAACTTCATGAACGCCCTACGCTAGAGTAAGACCCTTAGCCCGATGAGTGGAGGGCAATTGATGGAGGGTGATTTCACCCGACCTCCTAACTAAGGGACACGTGGATATGACTCGACGTAAGTGACAGCTTGGTCACAACTCGGCGTAAAGAACTCGCTGAAACCCCAGCAGAACAACTCGCCACAAGACAGCTCGCTACAGAACGGCTTGCTGCAAGGCAGCTCGCTATGAATGAGTTCTCTACAAGGGAGCTCGCTACGAAGGAGCTCGCTACTGAGTAACCCGGAGCCTTAGGGAAACTTCTTATCTGACAAGATCGTGCCTGTCAGACTGCTCCCGCGTCTCTTGGCTGACGATGTAGCACCTGCCAGTCCAAAGGATTGCACCCACGTCGCACGTCAGGCGGCGGCGTGCATGCCGGCTCTGCTTAACGTCTCTCGACTGACAGGGCCATACTCTGTGACGATTACCTGCACCAATCGAATCAGCCTGGCGAATAACGGCTGTAGCAGAGAATCAGAGGCGGTTACACCCGATTTGACAAAGCATTATTATATAAGGGCTCCGACCCCCAAGGAAAAAGGTAATCGAAAATTGTGCATCTTCACTCTTAGCTCTTATTTTCCTTTACTGCTCTCTAAAGCTCTCCACCGAGTTCTAACTTAAGCATCGAAGTATTCCCGCCGAGCGAGCTCCTCGGGAATCCTTCATCTTCTTCTCCTTCTCAGGTGTTGTTCGTTGCCAGTTAGGAGCGAGGCTCTTGCCAGATAGGAGTGACCAGATCGCGCTACATCACATGTAAATATCTTTCCATGAATAAAAATATACAAATACAGAAATGTTCTCAATGTGATGTGCGGCTGAAAGGGCTGTGAGGACCAATTCTATAAAGAGGAAATCCAAACTCAAAAAACCCTTTTCTTTAATTAAACATAATAAATTAAGCAGAAAAATGTATGAAATGAGAAGTCAGTCTGTGTACACAATCAATAAGAAACCCACGAAACTTAATAAAATCTATTACTTATATACTCACAGTCTTGCCTCCAGGGATTGAGTCGCGACATGAAGAAGGTTAGCAAGCTATTGGATGAATTCCTGGAAAAGATCATTGATGAGCATGTACAATACACTAACAATCACCAAGGGCATCATAGGGACTTTGCCCATGTGATGCTGTCCTTGATGGAGCCCCAGGATGCAGCAAAGGAGCTGTCTAATATCATCGGCATTGATCGGACCAATATCAAAGCAATAATCTTGGACATGCTTGTGGGTGCAATGGACACATCGGCAACTGCTATCGAGTGGGGTTTCTCAGAAATACTGAGACATACAAGGGTGATGAAACGGGTCCAAGAAGAATTGAGGGAAGTAGTTGGCATGGATCGATTGGTGGAGGATTTGATAAGGCTAGAAGACTTGGACATGGTAATGAAGGAAAGCATGAGGCTTCATCCTGTAGCTCCACTGCTCGATCCTACCACATGAGTCCATGGAGGACGTCATAGTGAACGGATACCATATACCAAAGAGATCTCGATCGTGTTCTGATCAATGTTTGGGCCATTGGACGGGACCCTAGCTAGTGTGTGGTCGGAGAATGCTGATCAGGAATTCATCCCTGAAAGATTTATGGGGACTGATGTGGATTTAAGGGGACGTGATCACTTCCAGCTTCTCCCATTCGGATCTGGTCGAAGAAGTTGCCCTGGAATGCAATTGGGCCTCACGGTGATTCGTCTGGTATTAGCTCAATTGATGCATTAATTGCTTTAATTGGGAGCTTCCAAATTAAATGGTATGTCATCACCATCTGATTTGGACATGAGAGAGAAGTTCGGCCCCTCCGTGCCAAGGGCCAACCATTTGCTTGCCATCCCAAAGTATTTCCCCCATCTGTAGCTCAAGGTTATTAGATGAAATTAAGGCTTAAAATAATTTTTATTATAACCTCTTATATTTTAAATAATTTAGTTTAAAAATAAGGGTAAGTTTCTGAAACCTCTCATGAAGTTATTAGTTGTTGTTGAAACCTCCCTTAAAGTTAGGTAATTGCAATCACACCCCCCTGAATTTTCTGACATTGTTGCAATTAGTAGACCCCTTTTGCTAAAATCCTCTAAAAATTAAATAGTCATGAAAATGTCCAAAATACCCATACAATTATTTTGACCTAAATGTTTATTTTTCAAATTTTCTCTTCATAATCTCAAACCCTACCATTATCTTTTCCGAAATTGATTTACTTTCCAAATTTACTCTTCATATCAAATGTTCAAATGTAAAGCTACAACTTTAAATTCTCTATTTCTGAAATTGGTTGTTTTTTTTTCTATAAAAACTAGCTTCAATAGTAATTGTATGGATATTTTGGACATTTTCATGCCTCTTTTTAGAGGATTCTAATAGAGAGTGCCTACTTGCAATTATGTTAAAAAATTCAAGGGAGATGATTGTAATGATAAAACTTTAGGAGAAGTTTCAGCAACAGCCAAAAACTTCAGGGGATGTTTCAGCAATTTACTCTAAAAATAAGTATACATGTGTGAGAAATGAAAGATCTTTGGTGAGAGAACTCTTGGTTTCTACACTCTCCCCTTTCTATTACACAGTCATGTGAACTGTTTGATGAATGATATCTTAATGTGGGTATATTATCTCCAATATATATGTAATGTGTTTTCTCCCTCCAAGTTTTCTTACGTTTGCTTCATATCCATAATCATCATTAGGTGTTTGCTATAATATTTATCTCAATATTCAACCATATTCTCAACTTTTTCAGGTTGCAAGGTTGCAGATACATTTACCTATAGAATTAATCAATTAAACCATAGGAAAGTGAACGCTAAACAGCTTCGACTTTGGCTTTTCAAAATAGGCTTTTCATATCTTTCGGCGCTTTGGCTTTTGGTGGCTATATCTTTCGCAAATCAAATAGGAATAGACCGAAAATTGGTATGTCCAATTTGTAAACAGCTGAAAGATTGTGCGGAAAGACAAGCCAAATGGGCTCTTAGGCCGCGTTTGACAAGTTTTTCCATGCGGGCTTCAAGTTGTTTAAAAACTCGGAAGCCTGAATTCTGGGCTTTTCCTATTTGGCAAATGAAAGATCTATTGGGAAAAGGATCCAACCCATAAAAGACGCCAACAGCCCTAATTTGGGTTGTTTCAGGTTTAGCACCCCCCCCCTCGTCTTCTTCGAACGTGTGGCTCAAAGCACACGCTTGGGAGAAAATGGATTATCTTTTCACAAAAAAACTATTTGAATGTGTGAATGTGACCTACCAATGGTGTGTGGGGCCCACATTAGGTATTATGTGGGGTCCACCTTGAAAATGCATGTAGGCCCCACATACATGTTCACACATTGAGTCCACTAATGCCATGTGGGACCCACCTTATAAAATATATGTAGGCCACACATACATGTCCAGACATGTTATGTGGGGTCCACCTTGAAAATTGTATGTGGGCCCCACATACATGTCCACATGGATCTCACATGCATGCCCATCAATGGTATGTGGGACCACCTTGAAAAATGTATGTGGGCCCCACATACATGTCCACCAATGATATGTGGGGTCCATCTTAGAAAATGTATGTAAGTCCCACATATTAAATGAAAAGTCCATTGTCCCCCACACATTTTTATCACATTACCAAAGGATCACTTTTATGATTATGTTTGGAATTTCAAGATCTATTTGCAAAAGTTTATCATGTCTTTTAACTATCAGATATTGCAAGTATATATAGGAGTAGCAACATAGCAAACATGTTCATCCTCCATACTGCTAGCAATAGCAAACTTGTTCATTCCCCAAGGGCTAGCAGTAGTAGTAGTGATAGTGTCTGTACTAAAGCTCTGGTATGGACAGCAGAGGCTACCGCCCGGTCCACCGGGGCTGCCAGTTCTCGGCAACCTTCACATGTTGGGCCAACTTCCCCACCGTGACCTCCATCGGTTGGCCAACAAGTATGGACCCATAATGTATATGCGGCTAGGTCTGGTGCCAACGGTAGTGGTGTCGTCGCCGGAGGCTGCCGCCTTGTTCCTCAAGACACACGACCTTGCCTTTGCCAGTCGACCCACCCTGAAGGCTTTTGAATACATGGCATACGGGTCCAAGGGCTTGGCCTTCTCCAAATACGGGCCCTATTGGCGCTTCATTCGCAGACTCTGCACCACAGAACTGTTTACCGACTCAAAAGTTCATTCCTTCAAAGCCACGAGGAAAGAGGAGTTCGCCCACTTCTGTACTTCACTCAAGCAAGCTGCTGAGGCTGACATGATCGTGGATCTCAAGGAGAAGATCTGATCCCTAATTGAGGACATGAGTTTCCGGATGATAATAGGTAGCAAGCACAGTGACTTCAGTCTTAAACCAGTTGTCCGAGAATTCTTTAGGTTGGGTGGTACCTTCAACCTATCTGATTACATCCCTTTTGTCGTTGCACTTGATCTCCAGGTATATATCTTTTTTGTTCCTTTCTCATACTCTATATATCATCTCAACGAATCGTTTAACCTAACTAAAAACTTAAATTGTTAGGTGAGGTCCCTAAATGGGCTTTTATTCTCCAAGAAAGCATGTACAATTGGATGAAGGGCTGTCAATGGATCGTTCTGCCCAATTATGTCAGTTCTGATTTCATGATTTTGTCCTAATTGGGTCAGTTTCAGTTCTTGTTTGTGTGGAATCAATTCATATTCAAACCAATTATTTTATCATATATATACAAGTTTTCCTGATTTTCTTATATTTTTCATCATACTTTATGTTTGAAATGATAAATTTAATAGATAATATTAGTTAAAATATTTGATTTATTAATATATAAATAATTTAATATTTTGTTATGAAGATTATTTATCAAAATTTAAGACTTAAATTATTATTTAATTAAATAAACATTATTTTTAATATAATTGGGTTTATTGAATCATATCCAATTATCAAGGAAGACAATTCTGAATCAATGATTTTGTCCAAATTAATAATTAAATCTAATTGGGACCACTCTATCCTGACCTAACCTGTTGATAACCCTAATTGCTGCTAAGGCACCAAGCAAGGGCTGACTTGTTGATATATGAACGGTTTGTTCCGGTGTTGGCACAGAATCAAGTCTCCCAACGAGTTTGATACTTGTACTCATAAAACCACTTGATACTTGTACGGGGTTTTTGTCATACTCATAACACCGAGTTTAGCTTCTATCAAGGCAAGTCGGTGCTTCGCACCTTTCGAACAGCCCTTTGCATTGGGAATATCTCGCATGAAATAAATCACATAATTAAGGAGATATTTCCAACACAAGGCTGTAAAAACAGTTGAAACAGGCTTTGCCCTGACTGAAGCTGGACTCCTACTTGATACTTGTATGCATAAGGCGTTTCATGAAATAGATATTTTATCAACATGTCTTCTTGATGCAGAGTTCGCATCTCCGCCCCACCGCGCTTTGCTCCATACAACGTGCAATTGACACTTATTCAGTCGCACGCGGTGGGGCATTCCCACGTGCGGGGCTTATGGGACAGACGTTAGCCCCGCTTGTTAATTAGCCCCAAAACGATCTCAAAATGCAAAGTTCGAGCTTCTCCCATATTCTGGCCCCCTTGAATCTCAAATCGGAGTCTTTGACCCCGTTCTAGCCCGAGCTCGGATCTCGGCAATCATTTTTGTGAAAAAAAAAATGATCTGTTTGATGCATAAAGTCATAAGATCAAGCTTTAGCCTTTGCTATGTTTTTGTGTTCAGTGTAAATAGGGTTGAGTATTTGTCAACGCAATCTCCAGATTAGTGTTTATCAGAGCTCCGTAAATGGGGTTGACTATTTGTCAATGTATTTGGAGAGTAAGGACACCAAGAAGTCGGTGATTTCCTATTGGAGCTGCTGGTGTTTGTTCCGAATGTCAGTATTGAACCAAAAATCTGGGTTTAATCACATGCACAAGGACTCTTATGGGCGGTTTGCAGCTGATAACAAGAGTGGGGATAACGCCAGTCTTGGGTGGAAATGTGGAATGACTACATGAAGATGTCGAACTTTATTGGATCGGATACAAGGTTTCTTCTCGATGATACTGCTGTTTTCAGTGCTTCGTTCCATGTGATTAAGGAATCTAGTAGCTTCTCCAAGAATGGGGGTTGCTTGGAAGGAGGAGTGGTGGTGGCCTGGTGGGGCAAGGAAGTCTGATGGGCATATGGGGAAGTTAACTTGGAGGATTGATAACTTCACGAGGCTGAAAGAACTTTTGAAGAAGAGGGAGATCACGGGACTGTGTGTCAAGAGCTGGAGATTTCCGATTGGTAATCGGAATTGTCACCTCATTGTCTATCCCAGGGGTAAGACCAGCGGACATTCAGGAAGATCACCAGGTAAGACGAGGGTTGGAACTTACTTGGTGACAAAAACTATCGCCGGTGTCAGAGATGATGGCGGAGATCGGAGCTTGGGCTAGAATGGGGTCAGAGACT